AGATTCTGGGACCTGCACGTGCACTGTACTTCTCTGCCTCCATCACGGTTCGCTGAGCGGATACAGCCCCAGGTCTGACGCCATCCTCAGCTGACCAGGGCAGGATGCCACACAGACACATCATCCCGCGATGAACAGCGATCTGCCATGGTGTCACTTGATCTCTCAGAGGGAGCTTCCCTCGTGAGTAAGCCTAGAAAGTCACTTTTCTTTTCCCAAGAGCCCTCACCCATGTGTTTATCTCTGCAGCACTGGCAAATCTCTGAAGCCAAGGAGCCCGAGAACTGCTGATGGGCATTCATCAAGATGTCCCAGCACCATGGGGCAGAGCAGAGGTGCCCAAGCTACCTCCAAACGATGTAACTGGGGTATAGTAGCAGTCTTTCTGCCACAGCATGGAGCTCAGTGCAGGCTGCAAAGCATTTCTAGGAAGCTGGAGAACTACTCAAGCATCTCTTTGTCACTGATGTCCATATTGCTGCTGTTTGATTGCCGGCGACTCAAAAAACCTCCTTTAGGTAGGTCTGAGCCTGCACCATCAATGTTCCTCCAGGTAGATTCATTCCAAAGTGACTGAAAGAAACTCATGTAGGTGAAGGTCTTGACCGTGTCTGAAAAAGTACCATACCAAAAAAAGTGGTGGGAGAGGAGAGAGCCAGCTTTTGTACAAAGTGAGCTTGTGAACTCTGCGGCTTTGACTTTGTCCCACTTACTCTGTTCACTATCTCTACAAAGCGTTTCTCACACAAAAGTGTATTTTTATCAACGCAGAAAAGAACCTCCCAGAACTGGAAGCTCAAGCTGCTTTTACCCTGGATAAATGGGATGCAAATGTCACTTAAGAGGTTAAATGGCACATGGAGGAGTTTTTTTTTCATTTTTATACCAAGCATGGCAAAATTAGTATTAATGGGACCGATCTTTCTAACTGTGAAATCTCACTGAATATAAATATTCAACAAGAGAAATGATCAGAGCTCTCCTTCTACCCGAGCACAACGCACAGCCAGGAATCGCTCTGCTGAAGGAGTTAAAGTTTTCTGCAATAATGCAACAAATCCCTCCCTGCAACAAACAGCAGACACATTCTGTGGCAGTTTCCCCACAAACTTCAATCTATGGGGGAAAAAAAATCTTGATTTATTATATAGCATTTGGACAGTTGCGAAAGAAAATTTGCCAAAGATCAGAATAATCAACTCTTTCACCCAAGCAGTTTTTTTATGGAAGAAAAAAGCACAGAATGGGTCTGAGCAAAATAAATAAAAATTCCACACTTTTAACCAACAGAACCTTTTGCGTCATTCAGAAATATTTACAGACATCCAGAATCTTTTATCATCAAAAAGACACTCTGGCCTTTAAAATTACAACTTTTTCTTATATTTTTGTTTACTGATGGCCTTTAAACTAGTGGGTATCCCTAACTTGTGGCATCTCATCATGCCGGGCTTGTCAAACGTAGGAATGTTTAAAGCTGCCCCTTGCTATTTTTTCCCTTCCTTGGAAACTTCTCTCTTCTGCTAAGCTATCATCTGTGAATTTTGAAGATAGCAGCACACTATCTACTAGCTGCATCCATCCATCACATGAGTCACTGTCACTGGTGTCTCAAAACACTAGTTTTCATGGACTGAAAGGGCCGCTAATGCCAATATTAACCAGGAAAGGGCTGGTTTAGGGCAATTAAATACAGCCGTGAAGAGGGCTACAAACAGAAACATACATTAGCCATTCATAGTATACGAGTATAGCTATAGGAGCCTCTCTCAGAGCCCAGTGAAGGTATTAGCGTGGCATCCCCGTTCCACTTGCCCATTTAATTAGCACACAGTGAAGGCCACTGAATTCCCCTGCAAAAGGTGTTGCGTACTTTGGACAAAAAAGAAAGGAGAAAAAAAGTTGCTTTTAAGTGCAATCCAAAAAAAATAGCTCCTTGGCTAAAGGGCACTGTTAATAAAGATGTTTCCAGTGTTTGTTTATTTATCAAAAAACAGTGTTTCTCTCAGGTGTTTTGATTTTTGTTTCTATGCACAAGGAGAGAAAAATAAGAGTTTTACTAAGCAAGGCTTTCAGTGAGACACCAGATGATGGATAGTCAAACACAGAGTCTCCTGTAAACACAGAGAGAACCAAAAGGTATGAACTGACTCATAATTGTGTCAACACAGGTCGCAGACCCTTGGTTTATTTCAGCCTTCCTGTTTTTCACAGATTTCTTTTCACACTACACTTTTTTTTAAGACACAGACTCTTTTCAGTACAGCGTAGCAGGGTGCAAAAGCACACACGTTTTTACACAAAATGTGGGCACCTGCACCCACATTTAGGCCGTATCGCCACAATTACAACAGCAGCATTTTCTACCCATGGCTTATGCATTAAACTAAGCTGGGCCTTTCTTCACAGCAGTCTGTGCCCGATCTAAATCCAAAGGTCCATCCTATCCCTCCAGCCTCCAGCTTTTCCACAGAGGTTCTTGGGAAGCATCCAGAAAAGAGGAGTACAAAACCTCAACAGCCTAGTCCTCCAGTTCATGCAACCCTCTAAGACTCGGTGTGATTTCTTTTTTAACCAAAGTGGCAAGACTGTGTGTGACCAAAAGTGCTGGGAGGCTGGGACACAGCAAAGAGGGCTGTGAGAAGAACCCACCCATATTTGTCTTGATCTCTAAACATATCAAATTGAGGCTGTAGCCTTTACCTTATATAAAGTTGTTCTTCTCTGCTGGTTGCCTACTTCCATAATTTTGGAGGCAAAAGCCTCTTTGGGGTCTGTATTTCGTTATCAAATTTAGTTGGTGCTGAGCAGTGGCCTGAGAAGTTCTTAGGGGAGGGACTGATGGGCAGACCTACCAAGCAGTTGGATCCCCTGCAAATCATAGAGCAGTTCAGCTGATGGTTCAAGAAAGATGTTTCCGTACATTCCCTCACAAAATCACCTGTGGAGACACCTTGTCACCTGAAATCCCGAGATTTCCATTTAAAGGACTTGCACAAAATAACAAATGGAGATGAGTTGAATCCTGCAAAGACTGGTACTTGTCCCTGGATGTCTGAGCCACACTGAGCCCAGTGCAATGGATCTGCATGTGAACAGATCCATCCTGAGCATGGATCAACCACACAGGTGCAAATGAGTTAATGCCATAGACCCAGAGAATCTGGCTAGCCAAGATGCATCAGATCCCCTGTATGAACAGTAACGCTTTGTCTGGGATGTTTCCACCTCAGGTAGATTAACTGAAAAAGGGTAGAGCCAGCAAGGGCACATCACCTTACTAGTGCCTCATTCCTTAGATCCATCCTGAGCATGGATCAACCACACAGGTGCAAATGAGTTAATGCCATAGACCCAGAGAATCTGGCTAGCCAAGATGCATCAGATCCCCTGTATGAACAGTAACGCTTTGTCTGGGATGTTTCCACCTCAGGTAGATTAACTGAAAAAGGGTAGAGCCAGCAAGGGCACATCACCTTACTAGTGCCTCATTCCTTGTATAATCACATCCAGCTCAGCTAGCAGGAAAGCTACTCAATAAAAATCAGAGTCACAGAACAAGGATTTGGATCTTTTTTCCCACTGCGTACAAGTCATTTGCTAAAATTCCCAGTCAACAGGTAAACTTTGCAGTGGAGCCCAAGCCATCAGGAGCATCACAAGAGCTCTTCCCCTGTTACTTCACCAATTCATTCACAAAAAAAAAAAAGAAAGAAAACCAAATTACAAGTATGTTAAGAGCAAGCATTTTATCTGGTGCTGTTTTCCCCCACAGGAACCAAGGTTGATGGAGCAAGGGAGAGAATTCCCTCTAAAAATTACAATATATTGAGTCAGATTTACTTCCAGCAGGTTTTGTACCTTCAGAAATTGTTGATTTGTATGTCTGTAGAGCAGCCCTAAACTGGGAAAACCTACTCTCTTTTCTCCTGTTCCTTTCTTTACCTCCTTTTATCTCTACAGCAGAAGAAGAGGGAAGCACAATTTTGTGAAGGAGACCATGAGAAAAAGTTTCAAAACATCCCACATATTTTCTCTGCATAAACACACTGTGAATTTTGAATGTTCATAGTATCAGGGCACTGTCACTCAGACTCCAGGAGTTCACCTAAGTTAGACAAATTCTGCAGCCCATTATCTCACCTGTTACACTTTCTTGCCTTTCATTCATTCATTGCCACTGGCTGGATTTTGTCAGTGCAGGAGCAAGAAGCAGCCTCAATTGCTGAACTTAACCTCTCATGGCGAGATCAGTAATAGCGGGCTTTCCAGTGCAGAATTCACAAGGAGATAGCTGCTAGCCTTGTTTGCCAGGGCTAAGGAGCAGGAGCAGGAGAAAGGCTGTGTTATGGGAAAGGCCATTACAAGCTCCCTTCCAAATCTGCACTGTTTGGCAGATCAATAAAACAATTAAAAAACCCCTCATTACATGTCCTGTAAAAAACTACATAAGGCAGTGTTGTGGTTTGAGTAGAGGACGGTACTGCTGAGCAGACCTGCCTGGCAGAGGGCAGTGGCTGCTGCTTCAAACGTCCTATCCAGGGTATAATTAATATTAACCTTCAACTACACCAGCAATCTCTCTGCTGTCATCAAATCTTAGTTCCTCCCTGATAAGGAGCTATTTATTACAAGGGAATGCAGGATGTGACAGGGGGTTCATTTCTGAACGTCCTTTTACAGCCACATTGGTGCTGGTAAGTACCAAGTCAAAGCACCCATCCCATGTGCCTGGTACTGTCTAACCGTAAGGTCCCTTTGGCTCCTAAAACCTGTGCATGCACAGCAAAAGGGTCTGCCCGCTGTGCAGCCTTGTATTATGCCTCCCGCTGATCCACAGGGTCTTGTTAGTAACCAGGAACTGCGGAGTTTGCACGGCAGCATCATGGGAGGTATATACATTGCACGTCCATTTCTGAACTGATTCCATTTAATGCTGAACCAGTTTTGATAGCACGCTTTATTTATTCAATACTTTCAAAGATGGGAAAAGCTCTTACCTATTGTTCTTCGGAGATCTTCACACTGGCTAATGTGAGGGAATTTCAAGATTTCCTTCCACTTTTTGCTTTTGCCTTTGCGTTTCCCTCCACCCCCTGCAGAGAAAGAAATACCAGGATTAGATTGCTTTGGGGGCATAGCTCCTTCCAGAGTTTACCAGCCCAGCCACAGGTTTTATGGATACCATTAATAAATAAAGTTGAGACATTGTGGGTAGAGGTACAGATCAAGTCTGCGCTTGTCTGGGCTGAAAACAGACTGAGGCGGTGGCATCTGGCAGAAAATCAGCTTGCTAAAAGTTGGGGGTTCAGACGACAGTGCTGAACTGGGCATCTCCAACACCTTCTCTGCCCCAACTGACAGCCATTTCACACAAGTCAAATAATCTTGTAAAATTACAGCTTATGTCTTTTCAACCTGGATCTCCCTCTTCTGGTTTTGGGATGAGCCCTGAATCCATGCCAAAAGAAATGCTGGAAACTGAAGACTAAAATTTAATTCTCGCCACCCATCCCTCACATTACATATACTTCCACCACGGCATTACTGCCAATGTTACACACGCTGGTCACTGCTGCTCCCACAGGAGAACAACAGTGGGAGAAAATTAATGTAATATCCTCATGAAGAGAAAAACTCTTTTTGGTTCTTATTCCCCTTCTCACTCTTCCCCAAGACTTCTTGAACTGGACTGTCTTCAAGGTGAACAACCTAGCTGGCTTCCTCCAGCTCTGGCAGGACCAGGCCCAAGATCCTCACCCCCTTCACGCTGATGAATCTCCCTCATCAACATCCCTGCATAAACATCCTGCTGCAGGCATTGCTGGCATCTCTAGGTGCCACATCCCAGCTTATCAAAGTTACCTGCTTTTGGTGTTACTCTGTCATGCCCACACTTCTCTTGTCTCCCCCTCCCTCCACTCTACCTCCCCATCTCTTTTCCCCCCTCTCCCCCCCTTCCTCTAGTTTCTCAGTTCTTTCTCCTCCTCCATTCCCAGATGCCCCTTTCCGGTTTGTGTGAACAGGGCAGGGAAACCAAACATCATTCACTGTCATGAATTTTTTAAAAAGAACCTTCAAAATCTACTGGCTTGATTTGGACCTTCATATTGCTGTTCCCAAATCAGAGTGCGAAACCCTCACATTCACATTCTCCAGTGCAAAGATACTTTCTCCTGTTCTTTTAGCACTTGTGATGCTTGCTTTCCAGCCTCGGAGGGCTGTCTCTTGTTCACTGCTCCCTGCTTGCAAGGGGGATGCCTTCTGCACTGGGCTCCAACCAGTAAAGGCAGCATTTCCAGCATACCACGAGCCGGGAATGAAGCCCCCAGCACAACACCACACCACACCTCCTGCCCTCTGCAGTAATGCTGATGTAGTAGCATAAAAAATCACAGAATCACAGAATGGTTTGGGTTGGAAGGGACCTTAAAGATCATCTAGTTCCAACCCATGGGAACATAAAAGAGAAATCCAGGGGAGCCAGAGTGAAAAAGTGCCCAATGACAATAAAAAAAAAGACAAGAAAAATCTAAAAACATCCTCTTAGGCTGAGCTGCTTCAGATCTGAGTGTCCATCTAGAAGAGAGGCTGCACAGCCACCAGAGAAAGTGTGTCTCTCCAGACCTGAAAGCCCAGACGAAGACTGAGATTCTCTGAGTTGCTGGATTTACTGCAATTCAGTCCCTGCACACAAAATCTGATTCACTTGAGTCTATTTTACATGCGCTGGCACGTCAAATGACTAACTCAGAGCTGAGTTAATTCTGTAGAGGGGCTGGTAGAGTCACAATCGCAGATTGAGGGTGTTTTGGGCACTACATGCTATTGCAGGCTAAATTAGGAGAGCATTGACTCAAAAGGTAGCAGACCATTACAGAGAAAACATGAGCCTTGGAAAAAAAAAAAGTGAAGTATTACTCTGTGGGGTGTTTCTGACCACACCTTTGGCACAGGAGTGCTCCTGCACCTCACCTTTCATTCCTTCGCTTTTGCTGACCAATAGTTTTGGCACTGCAGAGCTTGCCTTGAATTCTTTAAAACTCCTTATTGACAGGAAGCTACTGTATGCCTACATTATGCAATGTGGTGCAGAGATATCTGCACTAGCCACGAAGGAACCAGCTTGTTTAGACTATCAGGAGTACAGCTATGCTACCCTTTCCAGGAATTAGTCTCCAGCAAAGCAGAGTGAGCTGTGACTGCCCCCATGATACGCTGTGTTGCGCAACGGAGACGTACCCTTTGGGTCTATAATGAACTTTTCTTCAACCTCCCCTCTTGAGTGCATCCCAAACACTACTGCTCAAGTCATTTCCTCTCCCATCCCTCCAGCCACAGCATCGGAGCGGCTGTCTCAATCTCTTCTTGGAGTACACAACAGTCTTGCTTGCTGAAGGTCTTAGGCATGCTAGAAGGTGCTGAGAAGCATTATGGGCTGGGGTGGGCACTGTGATGGTTCGTTCACCGCCTCTCCTGGAGCACACAGCTCTGCTGTGGTTACCAGCAACTACAGGGGTTGGATCCCACAACTCCAAGAGTCCTGCATTGGCTTTCGCCTCCCTGAAAGCCCACTCCTGCCATCCTGCACGCTCCCTGGTGCTCCTGACCTTAGGCCTCATCACACTGTACTAACACTTCTCTGCCCCCTCCCTTCACACACTCCTCTGGGGAATGATCCTTCCTCCAGGAATTCCCGTTTCCTTCTCTTCACCAGTCATTCTCTTTGGCTGCATTTTCTTCCCTGAACTATTGCGTCATGTTTTTTCTCACACCCACTTAGCTTGTAAACTTGATGTCAATGAGCTTGTCAATGAACTTGATGAGTTCTATGCCTTGATGTCAATCCTCCATGGGAATTAAATTAATTAAGTATATATTTATTAGCACTGGGGGAGGGCTGGGAAGAGGGGGGGAGGAAGGAGGAAGGGAAACAGCTGGCCAGGTGTCGCAGCAGAATGATCCCCCTTTGACACCCACAGGGTTTGAGTCTGGATTTCTAGATCCCTTCCTCAGGCTGCCAGCTCCCAGAGCATCTTATCCCACTGCCACGTACAAACATGAGCCTCTCGCTTCTGCCTGCTGCCTCTCCCACTGCAGAGACCCCCTCTGCTCTTAGCGAGGAACACAGGGGGGCGGTAAGTGGGCACGCAGGAGCTCTCTGCTTCAGGTATGAGCAGGCACCGGAGACAGCACAACGTCTGCAGCTGCTTGGGCAGCAGTGCCCGCTACAGCAGGACTGCCAATCATTTCTGGACACAGGAGGCAGAAGGAACAAGCCAGATGAAAACATCCTTTAGGCTGCATCTGCTAAACACTGGTAGGTCTTCACCCATTGAAGGTCTACCCTCTAGACCAGAGCATTGGAGACTTCAGAGCACACCTGCTTCCCCAGCCACCTTTACAGAAGCACTCACAGAACGGTTGCATCTTTAGCAGCATCAAGCTGTGCAGAGCACTGCAAAATAGCCCTTCGCTCTAAGTGACAGCTCTGAGATGTGTGCAGAGACAAAGTGATTCTGCTAAGCTGGGCCAGAACGCTTTTAAAATCCATTCGATGGAAAATATATATTGATATATTTACATTGGATGATGTATTTCTGACATTAAATTTCCATCCAAACTGGAGAATGGCTCTGCGGTCCCGTTACAACTGTGATCGATACAGCCAGCGTGTTCTCCTTTGTGGCCGTCCTCCAAAAATAAGCAGCCTAGCCTGATGAATCATTGGCTCTTAGCTGAGCATGAAGTAGCGTTACTATTTTGCCTGTGACGTCTTTATGTTAAAAATTCTTATCAACTGCTTTAATCGACCTGACCTTTCCGCTCTCAGCTTTTCTTGTGGAGCCAGCAGTGTTTGCTGGCTCTTAACGTTAATTCTAGCAGGTTTGAAGGACATAATGCAGTGAGACAGCTGAGACAGGGTAAATTGTCTAGCAGAGCTAAAAGCTAAAAGGGCGGGTTTCTCTGAATAGGTCAGTAATTGTGCAGGTTGCGAAGGGAAGCTTTTCACACATTGCCCTGATTGCTGCTTTTGCACTGTCTATCCTGGACAGGAGGATTTGCAATCTTCAAGGCAGCTTCTCAGAGCAAGACTTGACAGATGTGCCATGTTTTAGATGTGAGTTCCATCGTGTGGTGTTGGAGGGTCTGACTGCTTTAAAATCTTGGTTTGCCAAGGATGACAAAAGGTGAGCTCCCAGCAACAGCATGAAATCGCAGCTCCCCTCCCTTGTGTGCACTTAATAGCTCAGCAATTCCAAACCTAGGATTGAAGCTAATTCTCTAACATGTCAACTAGTTCTACAGGATACACAAGCATTTGCTCTACATCCTACCTACTGAAAAATACATGGCATTTCTCATACCATCTTGTGATACTGGATGGCAAATGTAGCTCTGATGTCTGCCTGCAAGGAGAGACACATAACCAGGGGCACACATGTAAAATATTTACGACCCTTAGACTAAGATGCCTACTTTTTTTGCCTCCATTATTTAGGACATACTTACACTCTTAACACCTAGAGAAGGTAGGAAAGTACCTGCATATCGTTAAGCCAGTGAGATATTAAGTGGCATGTCCAAGATGACATGAGAAATCAGAGACAGAGCAAGCAGCTGAAGCCAAGGCATTGAGTCTTAATCCTGCTAACAACAGGACCAAGCCATGCTCCTGCTCAGCTGATTAAAGGTATTTCATAACACAGAGTTAACCATAGTGATGGGTGAATTCATTCCAGCATCATGCCTGCAGCATATTCCCTTCGTGCCTCATGCCACCATGCAAGGTGACCTTTAAGCATGGCCAAGCTGGCCTCATACTTTGCTCGGTTCTTGCCCAAGCTGATGAGCCTGCGTCACACCCCATGCTGCCAGGCCTGGCTAACCCAACACGGCCAAACATTTCATTGCCTTCAACTGCATTATCTGCAACCTACTCAACCCACGGTTTAGGTACACTGTCCACAGATCACCGAAGGACAACGGCAGTTTGTGTCTTCCGTGTCGCAACAGTAGCTAGGCTCTCATCCAAGTCCTTCCCAACAAGAGTACAGAGCTCTGTACGCTCTGACTGCAAGGCTTTGATTACGCA